GAGAGGAGGGAGAGGAGGAGAGGAGGGAGAGGAAGGAGAGGTGGGAGGGAGAGAGGAGGGAGAGGAAGGAAAGGTGGGAGGGAGAGAGTGGCAAGGGGAAAGGGGAGAGGGAGAAAAGAGGAGAGTAGAGGAAAGAGGAGAGTAGGGGAAGAGGGAAAGAGACTAAATCATTAGATTGCTCTTCAAAGATAGGATAAAGACAATGAACAAATACAAAGCATTGTAAGTAGATCTTAGCTGGCTTCAACAACCCTCTCCTCTCCTCTCCTCTCCCCCAATATACCTATTCTTTACTAGATGACAAACTAACAAAGGCATAAAGACTCAGCTCCCTAAGAGCAGAGATAACGCTCTTTTATCTCAACTGAGCCAATTACTTAACAAATGGCTGTTAAATGAATAAAGGTGACATTAAAATGTACATTTTGGCCAATTTCATTTCATTCATAGTAAATTTTTTTTTTTTTTTTGGTCAGTCCTGGGGCTTGAATTCTGGGCCTGGGCGCTGTCCCTGCACTCTTCAGCTCAAGGCTAGTGCTCTACCACTTGAGCCACAGCGCCACTTCCAGTTTTCTGGTGGTTTATTGGAGATAAGAGTCTTGCGGACTTTCCTGCCCGGGCTGGCTTTGAACCACGATCCTCAGAACTCAGCCTCCTGAGTGGCTAGGATTACAGGCGTGAGCTACCAGCACCCGGCTGATTCATAGTAATTTTTTAATAAAAAGAAAACCTGTAAAGGCATACTTCGTTTTGTTTTGAAATAACTTTTCTTTCTTACAAAGCAGTATATTTAAGATCTGACTCAAAAGAAGTGAACATGAGCAACCCTTTGAAATTTAGAAAGGTGTAGTTGCAGAGGCTACACATTTCTAGAAAAGCTCTTGCACAGATCAGGTAAGACTGCACTTGCTCCGAATCTTCCCAGCACAGACTGTTCCGGAACTGGCATCCACACTTGCCTATCAAAACCAGAACCCGATCCTGAGTGTTTATTTTCCATAGAATATGTTTTTCCACTTACCAGCCTATGTCTCTGGACAGCAAATGCTACCGTCTTGACAAACTTAACAAGCAGAGGCTCCGGTCCCAAAGATACCTGGATCTGAATTCTGGATCTGCCCCTAACTAGAAAGACTCTGAATCTTGGCTCTTTGTCAGTAAAACAGGGAAGGATGAACAAGAGGTACCTCCACCTACATGAAGGAGTTTTTGGAGATCAAACCTTGACCAGGAACTCAGAGCCTGGCACGTGGCCGCGCCCTGACAAGTGCTACTTCCTTTGCCATCCCCCTTCCCATCCTACCCTTCTTCACAGCAGGTGCTAACAGTGTCAGCCAATGCCTTTTCAAGAGAAGATATTAACCTAAAAATAGCAGGAAGGTCAAGACTTGCACATAATAAAGGTAACCATCAACACAAGTAAAATCCTGAAATTCTCATTAACTCTGAAACATTTAATGTATATATTTAGTCAACAGCCTGTTGTAGCTACAGAAAATGCAGCTGTTACAAGTATAAAACAACCTCTTCAAAATTTCATGATGGAAAACCCTAATTCTATGTCTTTCAAGACTGTTATACCTTACAAACTAAAAAAGTACACATTAATCAGTTACCCATCTCTCTAATTCCTGAAAAATTGTTAGAAATACAAGAAATTATCATTACCACACACTACAGAAGACATGCCTCTTCAAAAATTATTTTGATGTTTGTTTTCTTATCCCTCTACATGTTTACTACAAAGGTTCTTTTAACTGTCAGAAAGGAGAATTTGGAAATATACACAATTTTTCAACCACTCACTACAGTGACTACTGGACTAGTCCAATAACCAATAATTGCTGTGAGCATTTACAAGCTTCAGTGATCTTGTATACGGTTTTGAAGGGGAACCAGATTTTTAAAATGCTAAAAAAAAAAGCAAAAACATATAAACAGCAAAAAGATATTTAGCAGTAACTTTAATTTAATAAAGAACAAGCTTATATGATATGATAATTTACACAACTGTTTTCTTTTCCCATCCTGATCCTTGATCTTGGAAGCCTGCAACATTGTTGCTAACATTCTGGGCATAACTCTGAAGAAACTAATTATATCAATCCTTAAATTTGAAGTAGATTACAGAACTGGGGAAACCCAGAATATTAGTTCCTAAAGGTTGTATGGATATATAATGACAGTCACAGAAATTCAATAACAGCTCTCTATGAAGTGTACTCAAAAGCACCGCACGAAACAAATTAAAAAGAACAATGAATCTCTCATTCTGTGCAAATAGGAGAATAAGAGAAACACTGGTCTATAGGTTTTCATAAGGAGTGTTATAATGAATTAAGATTTTGGATAATGGATTTTCAGAAAATTACAGTGAGTTAATACCCTTAGCCTTGGTATAGATGTTTAAGACGTTGTAACTCCTCAGAGTTGAGCTTTAGCACATTGTAAGCGCGCTCAGTGCAAAGGGCGGTAATGCCAGGGAGTCGCCACAGAGAGCTCTGCCGCCACAGGCAACTGATACCAGCTGATGGCCCCAATGGTGGGGCGTTCTGTGTGTGCTGCTCCTGGGGCTTGAGCCAGCGCTCTACCGCTTGACTCACAGATCCATTTCTGGCTTTTTGGTGGTTAACTGGAGATAAGAGGCGCAAGGACTTGCCTGCCCCAGCTGGCTTCAAATCACAATCCTCACCTGTCAGCCTCCTGATCAGCTAGAAATTACAAGCATGAGTCACACCAATGCCTGGCTCCAAATTGTATGAATTTTAACCTACTCTTTCAATCTATTGAAACGACTTACCAATTAAGTTTTTTTAAACCTAACTTGGAAAAGCAAAATCTGACACTAAGAAGGATACAATAGAATGAAAGCATTAATATTTCTTTTGAAGAGAACTATTTTCATATTTTTCTTGGATTTCAAGTGCCCTTGCGTTCAGTTTAGAACTTTCTACAGGAAAGAGCTCATCAAACTGAAGGCTGCTGGTAGCAGAGAGAGAAGGAAAAAAGAAATAGACTTGGCTCTGAACTACTTGGGAGGCAAGGATCCTAAACTCTTCCATCAGTATTTGAAGCAGACTAAAGGATCACCACAATTAATGTCACTGCATCAAGAGAATTAATGCTGCACTCCTCTTCACTGTACACTGAATAGATCCACATTAATACTGGGTGACTAATTTTTCCATATCATATAATGTACTTTGATGAAATTCATCATCTTGTCTATAAAAGAAAGGACACGACTGAAAGCAGGTAGAAAAAACCTTCCATGGAACTTATTTTAAAACCATGATTGTGTTGGAAATAAAGTGGAAAAGGTGAGTGATCAGCTCTCCTCACTCAGACCTGGAATATAGAATAATGTAGGAATGGAGCTCAGGCTATGGAAGTGTAAAATCAATATGAATGTTACATTTTAATTTCAGTTACATTATCTGAATCCGCCATCTGTGGTGGCCATCTTGCTAAAAAGACCTGTACCTGACAGGGCTCTTCAAGGCCTTCCCATTCTGCTTGAATAGGCTATTGTATGAGAAACTTGGAGCGGCCGCCCTGGCCGCGCCGGCCTGGCATTTCCTTCGCTCCACATCCTGTGGCACAAAGCATGAACTCAGCAGGCCGGGGTGCAGGCTGCCTGCTGCCTGTGATAATCCCCTTTCCCAGTAGGGGCCTCCACTGATGCATGGCTAAGAACATGCTTCCTCTTTTGCTTGCACCCAGTGGGGTTGGGCCCCAATCCAGGCTTCTAAGGAAGGTGGAAAAGTTAAAGGCTCCAGAAGCTGCCAGAGACATTTCTGGGTCAGACTTTAGAGAATCACTGATTAGAAAGAGAGGTATGGGTATAGTATGAAATTGGCAAGACTGGTAATTTTGAGAGATTCTTTCCCTCCCGGCCCTAGGCCCAGCTCGAAGGTCTAACTACCACCTGTTCAGGATCTGGCGGTTTGCCTTCCCTCCCCTTGGGGAGCCGCTGACTGCGGGTCTTCACCAGCGTGAACCTAATGCCTCCCGACAGGCCCTCACCCGCCAAGAGGGACCCGGCTGAGGCACCGGTTACTGGTGTATCACCGGATCACAGCCTGTAGAAAGACTCCTGTGGTGCAGCCAGCTGAAAGCCAACCACAGAAGATAGAGAGTGCATTTGTCTTGACACAGCTCTGCTCCTTCCCGCCGGCTGCCAATCCACTCCATGTCTGGGGCCAAGCTTCTGTTAAACTAGTCTTCTGGAGATAAAGCACCGTAAAGTGCTGGGTGAATACGTGATCTCCCAAGCCCACTGCAAAAGGCATTAACTATAGCGAAAGCACAAGACTATGGGGAGAAAGCCTGGCCACTAGAGGGTTTTGAGACTAACTGGAAGGAGGCATTTCAGACATTTTAACTAATATTAGTAGTTTTTACCATACAAGCTTTACGGGACAGCGTGATTACATTTTTTGAGTATAAATGTTAATGCTGGATCAAGTTTGTGAGAGGAGGTGGCAGAGGTGGGGACCAGGGAACAAGTATCTTGTTCACTTTAATTTCCCCGGCTTCTCCAAAGTGTCAGATGGGACACCTTTCTTCTGGTAGAAGGGATAGTATATTCAAGCTTGTTCAATAACATACTAATCAAAGTGGCTGGATAATGTCTTCTCTTTCCAAGTATGAGTAACTGGCAGGGATTAGCTACAGTGAAGCAGCTGAGGCTGTTTCCACGTCTCTCCGTGCTGACCACTGGCATGCAATTCTAGGGTGACAAGATCTACAAAGGTGGGGATCAAGACAAGGCACCCTGCTCGCCCCCACTCCCTGCGTGCGTGAGCCTGTGTTGGGGGAGCGTGAGGCAAGCGTAAAGACCAGTGACCCCATCACCATGACCACAGCTCCACTCACCTTAACTATTTTCCAAGCCTTCTCTGGACCTCTGGATACATCACTCCTCGGGCGTATAACCTAAAAAGTACACAGTTTAGGGACCTGCCACCTGGAGGCGGGCGTAAGAGCAGGAAGCCTTCCCAATCTCAGATGCAGGGAGAAAGGGCATCAGGGATTTTGTGACTGAGACCTGAAATATCCCTGAGTCTTTGGGTTTTACTCTGCAGCCATGAGACAAAGCGAGACCTACTCAAACTCTGGAAGTGATCAGACAGATTGCAGTAGATATTTGTTTCAAAAGAATTAGTGCAAGAAACCAATTACTCAAGAGTAGCCATAAAAAAAAACCCGACAAATTATCAATGATATTTGGCAGTTCTATTTTTTAAGAATCGCTCAATCCTGTTGTCTTTTATGAGTCTATGGCTAGTGGAGCTAATGATTTGAGCAGGTCAGGTCACCTTCTGATGGAATTTTAGTAAATTCACTTCTGACCACTTAATCTAATTCAATCCCTCTGAGAGGCACCCCGAGCTGTAAGGACAGTGGGTGTTAAGACAAACTCTGTGACCCTATCTCTACTTTTAACTTTTTTATTTTGCTCATGCATGTTTCCTAGGAATGTAATTCTATTTCTCTTTTTACGGTGCTGTTCTGAAACTATGTCTCAGTTCCTGTATCCAAAACAACCTCTGTATTTTCCTTCTAAGAGTAAGCTGCACTTCTACAATACAAAACAAAACTCTCAAGGAAACCATGATGACAAGAATGGAGAAATAATGCCCCAAGGAATGAAAACAAGGTGTAACTCACTTCATTTATATTTGACTACTGTGCTGTCTACTTTTCCTCATCATCTTAAATTCTACTAAAAGTGTTTCTTTGCACCATTCAGTTTCTCTCATGTCACTAGCTTAATTAACAAAAACTTTTAATTTGCTCCAAATGCAACCCAGAGTTCATTCTATGATGGTCCATGAATCCTGTAAGTACATCTACAATGTATGTAAAAGCCCAACTGATAGATGAAGGCACTACATAGTTACTCAGGAAGCATATTTTTCTCTTAGAAAGACAAAAATGAGCAAAGTTATTGCTGTTACTTTAGGTACCCTGAGCCAGGGAGAAGCCCAGGCTGCACTGTAGTGCCATCCAAGTGAGGGCGGCACAGTAGAAGGTAGTTAGGGTCCCCTATTGACTAATAAGCAGGCATGCCCACAAACACTTTAACCATGCCTCTAGCCTTCTTTTTGCCTTCGCTATTTTGGAAGTGAGGTCTCCTTTGATGCTGGGCTGGCCTGGGCCGTGGCCCTTCTCCTTATGCTTCTTCGAGAGGCTGGGGTGACCGGTGTGCGGCACCGTGCCTCCCTGTGCTGGGTTAGCACGCGTAGACCCCACCCTCAGACACTTGGTGAATCATGACCTCCCTACCTCTGCATTCCTAAGCAGCTGAAATAACCGGCCTGAGCCGCCTTGCTGGCTTCCCAGGAGGCATTCTAGCCTATCTGACACAATGTGTGGCAGTTAACAACCATTTAATAAAGGATTTTTTACTTAATGAATTAATTTTGTAACCCTAGTTATTCCATTTCTTACATTCTCAAATTTCCTCATTTGCATGCTTTAAGCAACAGTGAAGTAACGAGTTAGTATTCTTTAGCGAAGCACTGGTAACTTACACCTGTAATTCTAGCCACTCAGGAAGCTGAGATATGAGGATCTTGGTTCAAAGCCAGCCCAATCAGACAAGTTCCAGACTCCCTTTCTGGATCAGCCTGGCAGAGTACAGCTGATGACAGCGCAGACCCAGGACCCCCACCCTCCCGTGTGAGGCTCTCCATCACCGACTAGGCCTTAACCCCGGTGAGATTGTGAAGTCTGAGAATCGTGGGATTCTGCCATTCAGTAATTCTGAGTAAGTCATAAACCCTCTGAATCTTAGTTTCTTCAATCACACAATGAGGATGCTCACAGGGTCTCATTTATGATTTGTTTGAAATGATTCATTTACAAGGTCCGTACAGGGAGCCGGGGTTCCCTAAATATCAGCTACTGTTACTATGGGCACATACCAAGGTGACAGTGCCTCTTTGTGGATTAAAACAGACCCATGTTCTAAACTGACATGTGAACAGCGTCAGTAACTGTTAAGTAAGAATGCCTAGAGGGAAGAGAGTTTAGTGAAGGGAGCCCAACAGCATGTTTTTGTAATGGGTCAAGTCTCTCAATACTTCAAAGAGCCGGGAAAGGCGATGGCAAAGGCGTGTGGCAGCTGGTGCTGTTCACCCCAAGGGCTCGTCTGCTTCCCCCGGGTTCCCAATTCTGAAGCCCCGTCCTCATTTTATGCGTCATCTTACTTTCCAGTCCATCTCCACTCCAAGTTTTCAACTTACTCAGCAAGCTGTTGCTTTATATTCATTCCCATGTTCAATAAATTAGCAAAGCCTTCTCAATTCAGATCAGTGAGTCAATCCACTTCTCCAAGGTTTGGGTTTTTTTTTTTTTTGGTTGTTATTTAAAATGAAATGAGACTTGAACTCAGGGCCTGGGTGCTGTCCCCAAGCTTTTATGCTCAAAGCTAATGCTATAGCACTTGAATCACAACTCCAGTTCTGTGTGTGTGTGAAAGAGAGAGAGAGAGAGAGAGAGAGGGGAGAGAGGGAAAGAGGGAAGGAGGAAGAAAGGGAGAAGGAGAGAGGGGAGAGAAAGAGAAAGAGAGAAAGAAACAGAAGGGGGGAGGGAGAGGGGGGAGGGAGAGGGGGGAGGGAGAGAAGAGAGACTTTCCTGCCTAGGATGGCTCCTTCTGAGTAGCTAGGATTACAGGCCTGAGCCACTGGTGCCTAGATCTCTAAGTTTTTGTTTTTGTTTTTGTTTTGGTCGGTCGTGGGGCTTGAACTCTGGGCCTGGGTGCTGTCCCTCAGCTCTTCAGCTCAAGGCGAGCGCTCTACCACTTGAGCTACAGCACCACTTCTGGTTTTCTGCTGGTTTATTGGAGATAGGAGTCTCACGGTCTCTCCTGCCCAGGCTGGCTTTGAACCACGATCCTCAGATCTCAGCCTCCTGAGTAGCTAGGATTACAGGCGTGAGCCACCAGCGCCCGGCCTAGATCTCTAAGTTTTTAAAATTAAGATTTTACTAAGTCCTTTTAGTTTTACTGAATACAGACAGACAAGGGGTTCTAGCACACCATCATTAGAGCTTTAGATGATTAAGATTTTGTGTGGTGGGCCTCCAGGGGAAGTCTTTCACAGCAAGAACTGAAAGGGCTGCCTTCTATACTACATATAAATTACTGGCCTCATGTTCTGAGTCAGTTTTTTTTATTCTAGCGTGGGTTATATCACCAATCTAGGATCTAGATTAGTCCTCTTGTGACATATGACTACTGCAAGAAGAAGTCCAATCGGTAGCTGCAGAAATGAGCTTTATCCTTGGGAAATAACACAGGGATAAAGTTGATGAGGTAGTCTTACTAATGCTCGTTTTCTGAAGACTGAACTCATGCCGAAACACATCTATAGCAATCTGATACAGTGAAAGCAAAGTAGGCTTAGTGTAGGATGCTTTCTTTGAAACCCAGGGCCCACCACTGAGCAGCCTTTTCACTTCTCTGAAATTCTGTTCATATTTTGTAAAATAAAGAGAATCACATCTATGAAATAGAAGACTGTTAGAAGACTAAATGATAAAAAGTAATAGATAACTCAGTTCAGTAAAGAGCTTAAGCAAAAGTAGAAAACCAATGCAGGTTTTGATTAAGGCTGGAGAGAAACGAATTTTCTTATTCATTTCCCATAATATGTTAGCTAAAAATACAGAATATGAAACTTACAGCCTAGGTAATTTTTTACGATACAATACCTCAAACGTTCCCATGACTGAAGAGGGTCATGCGTTAGTGAGAAGTAGCTGTGCTTTGTGGGCAGGGGTGGTATTACAGCCCATGTCGGATAAAAGTAGACAGCTGCATGCTTTAGTTAAGTCAGCCAAATGGGCCAGGAACAAGCGCAGAGAGAGGTGGTCAGAAAACTTGGGGATGAGAAAAGACTGAGTGGCCAAAAAAATGAAAGGGGGTGAGTTAGTTGAGTTTAAAACAAAATTTAAGAATGCAAGTCTGAGCAAACATCAGGCTCCCGCACACCAAGGTGCTTAGTATACTTCTGCGTCTGAATACCTTCCTAACTACCCAACCAAAAAGTTTCCACTTAAACTTACTGGGTGTGAGAGATTTTTCATGGAAATGTATTTCCAAATTTTTAATGGGAATCAATCAGAGAATAGAATTCGCATGGAAAAAACTTGTTTTAAAGCCAAATTGCTTAGACACATTTATTCAGCGAAGCAAGGGGTGCCGGCACTGGGAGTCTTACAGGCCTAGGGGAGAACAAAATCCCAGTAAGCATGCCAAATGTGTTTTTATATTTCAAGACTCCTTCAACAGAAACATTATGGGAAGATAAAAATTAGGAAAACACTGAACTTAACTAATGTAAAATGCTGAAAAATGCTTTGCATTTATGCTTTATCACCAAGCGCCTTTTCCACATTTGTCCCAAGGCAGCAGATGAGGCTCTGTGTTTATTCACCACTGCTAATACTAGCAACTGGGACATGCTCTTTGGCAAGGCAGAAATAAGATAATTGTTCAACATAGGCCGGCTCTTCAGAAATACTGGAAGCACTGCCTGTAATTATAGACATCTGTCACTGCTAGCCACTCAGTACTAACCCTGACATCAATATACAACCATAGCACTAAACTGCCTGAAGGCTCGGCAATGGAGACCAGATACGCCAGGCAGGCAATCATCTGCTTCATCCAAACTATCTGTCAAAGGTTCCCAACCACAAATAGCTCTTACATTTTGTATCCTTAGGATAATAAGTTGATTTATTTTAGATTCTCCAATATTTACAGTCTAGGCTATCTACTAAAATAAAGAAACAAAACGTATGGCTAATGGAGGCAGTAACTGTTCACAGTCATCATAAAAGGTCATAGCTCAGCCCTGAGTGTGAAAACTGATGGAGCTCTAACCATGTGCTATCATACAGATGTTTCCTT